TGCTATTAATAAAGTTATTATACTAAATAAACAATGATGAGAAATGGTGTGACAGAATTAGAAACTTTGATAAGACTAACTAAGATATAGACAAAACAGAAGAAAGAATATGAATAGAAGTACTTAAAAATTGAAAAAAAAAAGAATGTTGGATATAAAACAATAAAAATATGAATATTAACAATAGATAAAAAAGTCTTGTAAATAGAAAAATGAGTGGAAGAAAAGAAAAAGTGTAATATGTTTTATATATGGATATTTTTAAAGATAAATATCAATAATTGAAGGAATGAAAATAAACAATAGTATTTATTAAGGATTAAATGATTAATAATTTAAAAATAATCTGGTTTATTGTATTTTAATATGAACTAAAATAAAGTTTAAGGAATTATGAAATTTCTATAAACAATAATACACATCTTATTACAACATTTAAATAATTAAATGTTTGGATGAAAGTAAAAAAGAGAAGCATATTTTTAAAAGTATTTTTAACTAAAAGTAGATGAAGAATATAAGCCAACACATAAACTAAAAATGAATGTTATAAAAAACAACACTCAATGGAATGAAAAACTATTATACGATCAGAATAAAATATTATTTTAATAATTTTCATTAATCAAGAAGAATTATTTTTTAATTAGTAGAGACAATGGAAAGAGAGTATTTATTGAAAGAAGAATTTTAATAATTAAAATTTTAATAATAAATCAATCAGTAACTCTAATTTTTAATATATTAAAAAAAATTTTGTTATTTGTGTTGGTGTGCCTTTAATACTTTTTCAAGTTCAGTTTCTTGTTTTGGTGAATTTACTTTACTTTTTGGTGAGACTCCTTTATTTGTTTTTAATGTTTTCTTTTGTAAATCAGCTAAGCTAACAACAGGAACAGCCCCTCCTCCAACAGGCATTTTAGGTATTGTTTTTGTTTCTTTTTTTTCATTACTACTAAGTTTATTGGAAGTAGATGATTTTTCATCTTTAGCATTAGTTTCAATTCTCATTTTCTTATGTTTTTCAAGTAAATTTCTTGATGGGGGTTTTCTATTTGAGTTCGCCATTGCTGGTCTTCTAGGAATAAATTGGTTTGTATTTCCTTGTTCACATAATGTAGCTAAGATTTTTGAATCAGAGTTAACTTTTGGAGTTTCCATTGTAGATATTTCAAAGTGTTCTTCTTTCTTGTCTTGTTGGGTTTCTTCTTTTGGTTTTGGTGTAGCCGTTGGTTGTATAACAGAAGGTTGAGATTGGGTTAATGGTTGTTTATTATAGGATTTTTGTTCAGTACATACTTGACTTTCTTCTTTTAAACCAGTTGTTTTTATTGGGGTTTTGTCTTGTAAAACGGGTGGTTGAACTAAAATAAAACTTTTTCGTACTTTGCTTTTTTCAGAGTTAAGAGGTTTTGGAGGTTGTTCATCATCAGTTTTAAACTTGATGTGTTCTACATATTCATTAATTTTTTTTTCCCAATCATCTGTTACAGTTGGATTAATATCTTTGTTAATTGTGATTATAGCGAAAATATCATAACTGTTAGTTTTAGGAGTCTTTACTTTTTCAAAATAACAGTTCATAGGAGCTGGGAAAGTAGTAAAATATTTGTTATAAATTAATACATCGTCTCCATTTAGATTTGATTTAACTTTTAATTTTTTTATTCCATCAAAAAATCCAGTGAGACTAATAAAAATATGTTGAGCGAATTGCTTTTCTACATGCAATTCACAATGCATTGTTTTTCCACTTTGAGTGAAAATACACCAATACCCTGGTGGTGTTTTCATTGTTTTAGATACCATCTCATCAAATTTATCATCAAAATAATTCTTTTCTATCATTCCTATTGTTGTTTTTGTTTTTATTTTAATTATTTCTACCATTGCAACTTCTATTTTATCTACTTGTTTTTTAAATTCTTTCATATAGCCTCTAGTTCCATATACAGTTGGAATAACTCCTTCTTCAAAGTCTTGAGGAATTGTTGTTAAATTTAATTGATCCACAAGATTGAATAATTGATAATAATTCTTATGAACTAAAGAAGGAATGAGATGAAATCGTTGGTATTCTTCGAAAATGATTGGTGATTCTTTTCCAATCATATGTTTAATTTTTTCTATAGAATTTGGTTTTGTGCCTACAACAATTAAACATTTGATTTTCTTTTTTTTATGTCATGTTTTAATACATTACATATTGAATATTTAAACTTTTAACAAACCGTAAATATAAAATTCGCATTGACGTTTATTTTCTGATAGAAGAACAAAACGTAAATCACACGTAGAAGGGAAACGAAATCTAAGGCTTAATAAATGACTGAGAAGTGACTGTACTGTAGTTTCTCCTTCTAATTGAAATTTAGCAGTAAATCCAATATATTTATTTAATTCAATTTTTAGTAAAGGAATTACATCTTTTAGTTTCTTTGGATCAGGTTCATAACATATAAATTGTTTTTGAACGAATTTTAAACTTTGAGGTTCTAGCTGAAGTGCCTTTTCAATGTTAGAGAGAATTGGCTGATTTTGTAATAATATTCTTGAAGTTTCTTTGCTAACCTTAATGCTTTGTTTCTTCATTTTTTTATTATTTTTTTCTGAGATTTTTAACTTTTTCATTTTAGTTCTTTTTTCTTATACCACTTGATTCAAGATTTTATTATCTAAACATTACAACCAAAATAAAATTTTCATAAATACACTTAACGGTGACACACTGATTTGGTTATTTTTTTTTTCAATTAAATTGTCTGAACTTGGTAGTAATAATTGGGAATTTTTATTATATTGTTTGGTATAAAGTATAATTGAATAACTGAAGAAAAACAAAGATTAATTTATTGAACGTTTAATTGTTATGTATTTAGAATATTCTTTGAATTAGTTGGTTTAATGGTTCGAAAAATTGATTTTTATTATCTTACGAAATAATTTAAATAAATTTTTATTTAAAAGACTATTTTCACATAAAAACTATATTCTGTAATCATAAAGAATAACAAACAATATAATAAGTATGGTATATATTATAATAGCATAATAGTTCATTGATTATATTGAAAATATCATACAAGAATATTAATTATTAATGACACAAATAAATTATTAAAATATGTATAAGTAGATATACATATACGAATCTAAACTAAATTTAAAAATGAAAATTCACAACTACTGATTTGACGTTTTTTTAGTAAAAAAAAATAAACTATTGAGAGGTAACTCATCTTACTCTCAAACACAAAAATAAATTACTTGAAAATTCATTACTACGTACATTTACTGAATAAGAAATAAATGTTTCAGAGTGTTATAACAATAATATTTTACAATATTCTAAAAACATTACTACAAAAAATTAGAAACTTTAGATGTATGTTGTTGAAGATAACACAAAGGATAAAGCACTGATATAGTGAATATTATAATTTGATCTAAGATAAGTCATTTTACAATACCATGGATTAAAAATATTACTAAATAAATAATCATAAATGAAATAAGAATATTTATCAATAACATAAATAGCTGAATATTATAAGAGTAGAGAATATAAAAATAGAAGAATAAACCTTTCTATAAGAAAAAAAGATTGAATCTATTATTACTAGAGAAATAACAAGGCATCAATTTTCTTACAGAAAATAAGAAGAAAAGTTTTTGGATTAACTAGCTGTCAATAGAAGAATATATTTTTTTATAAATAAGTTGGTTAAAACCAAGAGTAATATTTGTGGTACAAAAAAAAACATTTTCAGTAATTTATTGTTTTGATAATTAACTATTGTGCAATATTGAACATACTAAATAGGAATGAGGTATTAAACATTTATAAAGTTTATAACTATAAGATTGATTTCATGAACAATATAAGTTAAAAAATTTAAAATTAATTTAATTATTGTTGTAATGGGAATTTTCTTCTTTATCAATGTTTATATTTAATAACTATCATGAAATGAACTAAAATAGTTGTATTTAACAAGTCAGTAATATAATTAGAATTTCTCAATTTGATACTGTGTTTTTAGTACTTAATGATGAGACAGTTGTTAAAGAAGGAATATGAAAATAATTATTGTTAAAATGAAAATGAAGTGAAATGTAATTAATAAATTAATTTGATAAATAAAAATAGTATTTCTGATGCCTATTGAAAAGGCAATTAAGGATTTTAAGGATTTTGGAAATATGAAAAAATTTATTGAATAATATAAAATAATATAAAATAATAAATCCAATATAAAATCACAGAAATGTTTATAAAAACAATACTAAAAATAGGAAGATTATAATGAAATTAATTCAAAATTTAGGGAACTAAAAAATTTAAGTTTTAAAGAAACTGAATAAAAAGTGAAATAAAAAATTTTAAAAAAGAATTTAAAGATGATAAAACAATTAACTACTGTTTTATATAACAAAATAAAAAAAGAAAAAATTTAAATCTATAAAATCATTTATTTATAATTATGTCTGATAATCCTATCCCATACACTAGCACTTACTCAACCTCTTATAACCCATATTCAACAAGGGGTAGTGAGAGAACACTTTCTAACTCTTCAATAATTACATCAAAATATCCTGAACCTCAAAACTATGTCTATAACTATGGAAAACCTGCAGAAGTATTGCCTCCTTCATCTACACAATTTCCTTGTGTTTATCATATTCCTACGTACAGAGAAGTACCTCCATTATTCTACCAACTACCAAATTACCATGAAAGAAGTCGTTCAAGGAGTAGGGGAAGAAATTACTCAGACAGAAGACGACATAGCTCACATAGCAGAAGAAATTCACGTCGAAGAAATAGGAGTCACAAAAGTCGGAGTAGAAGTCATGAACGACTTCGAGATAGATCTCGTGAAAGATCACGGGATAGAAGACGTTAATGCTTGAACGAAGTTGAGTGTTTATTTATTGAGTAATTTATCCAACCTTTTTCATTCACTAGAAATGAATGTTAATAATAAAAGTTTCAATTAGAACCAACTTTTTGCCCAACTTAAAATACTATCACCCATTTTTTTATCTACGTTAGATAAATAAGATGTAATTGAATCAAATTGAGTTGTGATTGACGTTAACTTACTTAATTCACAATAAGTCACATACCTAACTTGGGCATTAGGTATAACTACTGGACTGTTTGGTGTTAAATAGTATTCGTCATATATTGCAATGTAAACTATATAAAAGTTTTTAGACAAAGCAAAAACTTGAACAAGAGTCGGTTTTGAGAAGGAACTAGGAAGAATATCAAAATCAGATTTAGAGCCTTTGGTTAAGAAAAATTCGTTTTGTTCTGGTATAAATCTTAAAATAATGTCATGGAGTATTAACCCTGGAAACTTAAAGGGGTGAGTTACTAATTCAATGAGTTGAGTAATGTTTAAAATATAGATGTATCCTTGTGCTGTTAAATCTTTTTCGTATGGTGTAATTTCATGAGGTTTTGTTGGTGGTTGAAACTTCTTTCCATTGGTTGTATTTAAAGAAGCTTCTTTTTCAATAATATTTTGAGGAGGTATATCTTTTAGTAATGGGTCATTTACTGTCTCTGTTTTTAATTGGTTTTGCTCTTTTTCATTTGTTTCAGTAATTATTTGTTCAGACTTTGGTTGTTCTTTTTCTATTGGTTTCCAGGATTGAAGTGTATTCCATAAAGAAGCAAAACTATTTGTAATATTTGTATTAATTTTATTCAAAACACTTTCTTGTGGTTCTTGAGGTGGAGGCTCAATAGGAATATCAGAAATATAAATAACATCTTTCTTAAATGGTTGGTCAGTTTCTTCTAATAATTTCCATATTGTTTCAAGTTGTTTTTCTTTTGACTCATCAACAATGTTTAAAATATTAGTTTTTAGAGACGAAGAAGGGGTATATTCTTTTTTATTATTGGTCTTATTATTTTCATTAGTACCAATATCTTCTGAACGGTCTTGTGGAGTTGGAGTTAAGTCATCAATAAATTTGCCATCTCCTGGTTGAACAATTGTAAATTCATTTCCAACATTTACCAAATCGTTCATTGATAATTCGTTCTTTCTATCCATTGCTAAGCTCTCTTTTGTGATGTTAAAGAATTCATTTTCACCATCTTCAAAATCTAGTCCTTTTAAATTATCTATTTCTGATAATATATTGTCCATTGAATAATTAGTATTTTGTTGAACAGTAGTAGTTGACTCTTCTTGTTTATCAACAATAGTTTCTAGTTCATTCAAATCATTAGTGATACTTTTAAGAAAATCATCATTACTCATTCTTCTTATAATTAACTTTGTTTTCAAGTTCTTTTTCTGTTTTTTATTTAAAGTCAAAAGAAAAGAGTTATTGCATTTCATTTTTAAAATAATGACTAGTCAATCACTTACTTGTTTTCTACTTATTATCTGATTCTACTTTGTTATGTTCCATAACTGTTACTTTTTGTTTTGATGATGCTCGGATTTTATCAATTCGTTCTTCTAATTCACACAGCATTTCATATAGGTCTTGTTCATTTTTTTTAGTTTTTTGACATTCAGAATTGATTATTGCACACCCTTTTACAGCAGGGTTTGATAGTCTGTGTCGAATCTCTTCTACAAGTCGTTGTTTTTCAAGTTCTTTTTGTTTGTGTAATGGACCAACAGCAATGTTAAGTAAGACATTACGATTTTTTTGTTGAGAAATTCTTTTGATAAGCCTCCATTTAATCTCTTCGTTTGGGTGTTTTTGAAATTCTTTTATGTCATTTGTGAGTGTATTTACTTTTATTTCCATCTCTTTATCAAAATATCTTTTTTCAAGTTCTTAAAAATAGATTCTTAATAAAATAGTTTTATTTTAAAACTTTTTACTATAAGACAACAAATACAAAAGAAAATCTATCTCCTAAGACTTTGTTAAAGTCTTTCAACTGATACAAGTAAAATTATTTCTTTGCTTTCGAGAAATTTTTTAAAAAAGGATTTAGCAAGTGTGCCTTTTTAGGAGATTGAATTTTTGATTAGATTCTTTTTCGGGATTTAGTTATCATTAGAAGTATAAAAGTACTTTTCTGAACTGTTCTTATCATTCAAATGAAACAACTTATATTAGCATTGTGTTTGTTAGAACTTACTCTCGCAGTATACCCAACTGGATGTAAGAAGAAAGGATATCATTGTGTCTTTGATGGTATCAAACATGATAAGTATTTTGAGTGTAATGAATTTTATGAAGGAATAAGAACATGTCCTAGGAATACTAAATGTATTAGTAATGCTCATCACACTAATGTAATTCCATGTGAATTTGTAAAAGAAGAAGTAATGGATGTTCTTCCAGTTGATGTTATTAACTCTGAATTCGAATGTAAAGCTGATGGATTCTACTGTGTTATTGATGGACTTCATGACCGTGATTATTATGAATGTTCTCCAGATTTTAATGGATTTAGGCATTGTGCTCTTGGAACTCATTGTAGAGGTGCAGAAAATAATCCATATAATTTCAATCCATGTGTTGTTGATGAAGTTCTTATTAGTTCAAGTACAAAATCATCGTCAGAATATCCAAGTCAAGAAAAAAGTTCAACTGGAGTATCATCTGAAGAACGTTCATATTCTGATATAAGTTCTAGTGAAAAGAAGTCATCTGAAGAGCCAACTACTCCATCAACTGGAGTATCATCTGAAGAACATTCATATTCAGATCATTCATGTCCAGATATAAGTTCTAGTGAAAAGAAGTCATCTGAAGAACATTCATATTCAGATCATTCATGTCCAGATCATTCATGTCCAGATCATTCATGTCCAGATCATTCATGTCCAGATCATTCATGTCCAGATCATTCATGTCCAGATCATTCATGTCCAGATCATTCATGTCCAGATCATTCATGTCCAGATCATTCATGTCCAGATATAAGTTCTAGTGAAAAGAAGTCATCTGAAGAACATTCATATTCAGATCATTCATGTCCAGATCATTCATGTCCAGATCATTCATGTCCAGATCATTCATGTCCAGATCATTCATGTCCAGATCATTCATGTCCAGATCATTCATGTCCAGATCATTCATGTCCAGATATAAGTTCTAGTGAAAAGAAATCATCTGAAGAACCAACCACTCCATCAATTGGAGTATCATCTGAAGAACATTCATATTCTGATATAAGTTCTAGTGAAAAGAAATCATCTGAAGAACCAACCACTCCATCAACTGGAGTATCATCTGAAGAACATTCATATTCTGATATAAGTTCTAGTGACAAGAAATCATCTGAAGAACCAACCACTCCATCAACTGGAGTATCATCTGAAGAACCAACCACTCCATCAACTGGAGTATCATCTGAAGAACATTCATATTCTGATATAAGTTCTAGTGACAAGAAATCATCTGAAGAACCAACCACTCCATCAACTGGAGTATCATCTGAAGAACCAACTACTCCATCAATTGGTATATCATCTGAAGAACATTCATGTCCAGAACATTCATGTCCAGATACAAGTTCTAGTGACAAGAAGTCATCTGAAGAGCCACCCTGTTCAGATGATACTTGTATCAGCTCTGAAGAAAATTCAAATTCTGGAGATTTCCAATGTACTCAAGATGGTCTTTTCTGTGTTATTGATGGAGTGCATAATAAACAATACTATGAATGTGCAACAACATTCAAAGGATTTAGACCATGTGCCTCAGGAACCTGGTGCCAAGGAGAACAAGAAGGTCCTTACCAATATAACCCATGTGTCTGGCTTGACCAAACAACTTGGTTTAATAAAAAAAATAATAACAATGAAAACAAGTAATTGTTTTCATCTATTAGTATCAACTTAATTGATATTTATTAAAATTGTTAATTTCAAAACAAAAGGTTTAATTAGTTATTAAGCACAAATATTCCATAACTTATTACTTCCTTCTTTATCATAACTATAACTGAAATCGATTCTAGTAAATCCCTATTAACTAATTAGTATTACTTTGCTTAATTCAAACAAAAAAAAACAAACAACAGGGGTTTCTCCAGTATTTTTATGAATTTCAAAATAATCTCTCAGAACATCATATGTCATTAAACTATAACCACAGTCTGCAGTGCCTTTGTTTGATAATGCTGGATCAAGCATGTTTTCTAACATTGTAACTGTAAAATTTGTTAATTTGAAGATAGACCCAGCATCGTTCATTAGTTCTACGTCATACATACCAAATACTGAATTAACGCAATCAATGAAAGGTCTTCCATCACTATCACTTCTGATATAATAATTTTCATTTTCAACAAACGGACAATTATTCTTTCCATAATATTTTTCACAAACACTCATTTTAATATTGAGTTTTGTAGGTGATGTGATATTTCTAGGGTCTTCTGGTTTCCAATACCAAAACCCAACTCCACCGCACTTATTAAAATCATCTAACTCACTCCTATCTCCTTCCCAGTACATTTTACTTTGTCCAAAACCTTCTCCTTTAGACTCTTTTACTATAAAACCAAGTAAGTCTTGATTCCACCCAACAATAATTACATTCTTTATTCTCCCGGTAGCTTTTAATGTTGGTGTTGCTAAATATTTTCCAGCTTGTGTTAATGCTATTTCTCTTGTGGTACTATCAGATTGAATAACATTTTCTGTTGAAGAAATAAGTGGTCGAATAGTACATTCATCAAATGTCATCCACAAAGGAACTTTATAAACCATAATAAGACGTTGAGCTTCCGTTATAGAAGTAGTAAATTGCATAGAACTAGGAATTGATTCAACAATAATTGGGACAGTTGTAGATGATGAATTATTTTCTATATACAAATCAATAACACAATGGAAATGTTCAAAAACCATAGGAACAATATTGACACCATCAGAACTAATGAAGGACTTGCAACTGTCTTCATTACTATGTTCATTACAATAACTTTTGATGCATTCTTGAATCTTAGGACCAAAGAATTTTACATTAGGAATACACTTACCTTTCCAAATTCCTTTGGTTCTTAAGAACGTCAAAAAATGGGTTTCTAAATAATCAGAAAAAGCAGAAAAAATAGACGTACTATTTTTTGGAGGAGTTAATTCTGTTTGAGCAATAGAATAAGTGTCTATTAGATTAAAATTAAGGTCGTTTCGTGCTTTAAAATCAACAACCCCACCAACCAGTGAGAAGAATGAAATTATTGATAAAACAATTAACAAAAATTCAAATAAAATTAAACTAGACCACAACAATATTAAACTCCAACTCTTGTATGAACACATTTTACAATGAAAACAACTCATTTATATTTCTATAATTTTTGAGATGTTATCTTCTTTTTAACTTTATGAAAATACACAAACCAAAAAAAAAAAATTATTATGAAATAATCATTTTAATATTTCAATAAACTAAGGATAATCTTTTGGTTGGTATTAGAGGTTTATTCTTCTAAAAAGTATTACTCAAAGTTGAAAAGTAAATAGTACTAGTCTATTATGTATATTTGATATACTAATGTTTATATAAATTAATCTAATAATTCTTAATGTATTGAATTTGGCATATAAACCCATTAATTACCAAATTCATTGCTATGAACTTTTCAAATTTTTTAGTTGTAGGATTTCTTTTACTACTTTAATATCTAGCAATAAAACTTATCTCATTGAATTTTATAAATAAAAATAAGATAATTAATTAGATTAATTAAATACAACTCTCTTTCGTTCTCTATGAATTATTTAATATTATTAAATGAAAGTAATTTGTATGTTGAGTTTTTTAATCTATTTTTTTTTTAACTTTTATCAATATACAATCCTTTTTAGGTAAATGGGTAAAAAACTAATTAGAACCTAAACTCATTAAAATTTCTGAGGCTTGAATGAAAAAGGGGGATTATATAATGTTTGAATCATAAATTAATTTAATGTCATTGATAAATACATTTTGTTAGTTTTTATTTGAATCAAAAAACACTTTTTTTATTAAGCAACATTTATTAATTTTGTTTAAATTTTTGTAGAAATACTACCAATCAATCTGTTTAAAGTTTAAATTCAAAAATGAAGAGAAATAAAAAAGAGATTTGAGAAGAGTTTTTCTAATTATTTATTTCTTTTTAACAAATTTTGATTATGATAATATATTATTAATAATGAAATCTTTTGTATAGGATAAGTCTGTTATAAACATTCAACTGAATAAATAATTAGTTAATTAAAGTCTAATAAGTAATAATTAAATAATTAAAACGTCTTTTTGATGAGTCAAATAAAAAAAATGAGTGTTTATTGAATAATAAAACTGATAGGATTTGTTTCTGATATTGTATAATTTTTGTAAATAAATTTATTTGGACAAAAACTAATATCAAAACCTTTAAAAGAACTAGTTAACAAAATATAATTAAACATTTGGAATTAGTTGTGTTACATAAAAAATTCAAAGCTTGTGTAATGAAGTTTTATGCAAATTAATAATAAGAATAAAGAAAAATGGAGAGGTAAGAGACTAGAACTGTATATACTTTAACAGACTTTTAATGAAATTAGAATAATAAAAAATTAAATTAATAGAAAAATGATGAAGTATTTACCATCAAAAAAAAAAATCTCATTAACAAAAAGATTAAATCTTAACTAATAATTCACTATAATTGTATGCAACTTGTTGATTCGTTTGAAGGTTTGGATTACTCTTTTAATGTTAATTATTCTTTCTTATTGAATAGAAGAAAATAGAATTTGGAGCGTAGATTATTCACCAAAAACTAATTTAATCTATACATCTTCCATAACACCTTATGTTTGTTTTGTTGACTTATTTACTGCCAGTCTAATCTAACACATAGGTCCACATTTACTCATTGGAGTCATTGAAATTAGTTCCTTTAAAACCATTACTTACACCTCATAATCGAACTATCAGAAGAGTTAAATGCAGCAAAAATGGATTATTGGCTTGTTGTAGTTTCGATTCAACTGTCAGTCTATGGGAATTAAATGAAAATACTATAATTGGAACATTAGAAGGTCATGAGTCAGAAGTAAAATGTGTTGATTGGAGTTTTGGGTCAAACATGGTTGCTACTTGTTCAAGAGATAAATCAGTTTGGTTATGGAAGTCATATTCTGGAATTGATTATGAATGTTGTAGCGTCTTAACTGGACATAGTGGAGATGTTAAAACAGTATTATTCCATCCATCAGGAACAATATTATTTAGTGGTTCATTCGATGGAACAATAAAAGTTTGGAAAGGAGAAGAAGAGACTGAGTGGAGTGAATTACAGACAATTCAAGCATACGGAAAAACTGTTTGGGACTTAAAAATAACTAAAGAAGGTAAGTTTATAGTTGCTGGTTGTGCTAATGGAGTGATTATATTATATGAATTTAAAGACAACCTCTTAGTAGAATTAGATACAATTAATAATGAAAAGTATAGGGATATTTATTCTATTGATATAAATGACAATAATGTTTTAGTAGGGTCAGGAGATAATGCAATCAGATTATTTAAAATAGTTTGTTTCATTTCTATTTTAATAAATACAATAATACTCACAAGTAATAGAACACTATTAAGAAAAAGTTAGAACTTATTGAAGAAAAACAGGATGCCCATACCAATGACGTAAATTGTGTCAAGTGGATCAATAAAACTCTATCAATTTCTGTAGGAGATGATAATATGCTGAAAATCTGGAAAATTGTCAATTAAAAATATTTCATATTATAAAAAAAAAACCAGAAGAATTGAATTTGAACTTTGAAAAATTCATTTTTGTGTTTACTTTATTTTAATCCTTTTTAGAAATATAGGTAAAGCCATCAAACTTAAATTCTTGTCCACCTGAAGTATTTGAATTTTTTTCCTCTGCAATAGCGGCATCTGTTTCTCCTAAGAAATATGGATCGATATTAGCAACATCATCAGCAGAGTGGACTTGAGGAATATAAGGTGGAACAACTTCTTTTTTCATTAAACGATCAAAATCAAGTCCTTGGAAGAATGGGTGATGTTTCATAATAGTTGTATCTGTTAATCTTCTAGTTGGATTCTTTTCTAATAATGCATCAATAAATGTTTTAATAGAAGACGGTGTATTTGGTGGATATCTAACAGCTTCATTAACAATATTTTGATACATTTCACGTTCATCCTCACTATAGAATGGTGGAATACCAACCATCATTTCATATGTTAAAATACCAAAACTCCACCAATCAACAGCACTATCATACTTCTCTCCTAATAGAATTTCTGGTGCTAGATAAGCAGCAGTTCCACAAAAAGTGCTTGTCATATCTCCTTCTCCTTTCATTCCTGTTTTACTTAATCCAAAATCTGTGATACAGACATGACCATCAGCATTTAACAATACATTTTCTGGTTTTAAATCTCTATAAATAATACCATGTAAATGTAAATGTTCTAGTGCTAACAATATTTCAGCAGCATAAAATTTAGCACGAGCAATAGAAAATCTTCTTTCATTTTGTAAATGATAGAATAATTCCCCACCATTTATAAAATCCATTACAAAATATAACTTATTTTCCGTTTGGAATGAATAATGCATATGAACAATAAATGGATTATCAATGGTTCCTAACACCTCTCTTTCAGCCATTGTATGTTCAACTTCATTTGTTTCAACAACTGCTTTCTTATCTAAAATTTTCATTGCATAGATTTTCCCTGTATCAATTTTTTTAACTAACATTACTTTTCCATATGTTCCTTTACCAATAAGTTTTAATGTTTCAAAATCCTCTAGTTTAGGTTTTAGTGCATTTGAAGATTGATCTGATTTACT